TATTTATTTATTATGTTTTTTGTTTGTCAGTATTTCTTAATGAAAGACTTTAACATCAAAATATCGACTGGTGGGGGACATTACAACATAAAAAGCATCATTTTGTGGACAATAACAAACTAAAAAAGACAACAAAAAAAAAAAAAAAAAGGAGAGAGCACTTGTAACCTGATCGACTGGCGAGAAGAGCGAAGAGGCAGACTGTCCACACGGTGTGATCCGTTTCTATGTGTTAGACCAACATCCAAGAATAGCAACGCGTGCGGCCACCGAGCGAGGAGATGGAGGAGGAAGTGGTGGATTTAACAACTGTTGCTTTTGCTGCTTCTGCTGCTGCTGCCGCCGCTGCTGCTGCGGAACCAACTACCTCTCAGTCCGGGCGGCATGGTGAATATCGGACAGGAATAAATTCTATTTTAGACTGTCATTGTGGATCAGAGTGCAAGTCCACAGGGATATTAAAAAAGTCCTTCCTATTTAAGGTAATTTAATAAAACAAAAAAACCCAAACAAACAAAGCTAGAGACAATTAGGAGCGCGTATCGGTTTCCTGCTTTAAACGGAGTATGTACTCGCCTGTCCATTCAGCGTCTATCTTGCGACTGTATTATTGGCCACAGACGCTTGAGAGCTGCTGGCGGCGCATGTCTGCAGCAGAAAAGGCAGACAAGGAGCGTCTGTGTGATGAATGGAAAAGCAGACTGGCTCTGCTGTAAGACAGCGGTGATCGGATAACCTGTTGAACTGCAGCTGTCAGTCAGCTCCCAAGTCATGCAGGAATCACAGGCAGAAAGAAAGAAAGAAAAAAAAACATTAACAGGAGAAACACGCGTTACATCAATGGCAGCAAAAGTGGCCTTATACGCTGTTGGTAGCTAAAGAGCTTTTCTTCAGGTAAACAAATTATGTCCTTAATATTTATGCTTAAACATCGTTCAACAATGCTTCATGATTTTTATTTATTTTTTCCTGCTGATAAGATTGTTGATTGTGATTGGCTTTCAATAAGCACCGTTCACACTAGGAAATTATAAGTGGCATAGGCCTATAGTCTTCAATTAGAAAAGAAAAAGGAAAGTTAAATCATTTGTATTGCTGTGTGATTGGGAAGTTAGTTGCTTTGTGACTGTGATGTTTTCAAAAGCGATGTCCACGAGTTGTACTGCCATTAGGCTACATCACATTCTCTCTTCAGGAGCAATTAAAATGCTTGCGACTCTACCGGTTCGACCTTGAGTCACATCTCCACAGCAGCTTTTCAACGTTGCCTGCCCACGGATTTCCAGTGCCTCGGTTGTTGAAAATAGCTTGGCTGCTCCCTGTCGCTATGGCTAATTCCTTAGGAACCGGTGGATCCAGTTTGATCCATCCCTCTCTCTTTCGCTCCCTTTACCAACTTGTTGAGTCTTCCCTTTTCTTTGTTCTGGCTGTAAACGTTCGCCATGTAACCGTTCGCTCACAAGCCGCGTCACTTTTTTTTTTTAACGATCTGCTGAAGTTCGAGCTGAGTTGAATGTGCATGTCGATAAGACGGCGTTGGTGTCGCTTTTAAAGTGGAAAACTCGACAGGGAGGAGGGGGCACGCACTTTAGAGGCTCTCACACACAGCGACAGTCACCTGTAGGAGACTGCAGATGCGCACCTCTTGAACTTTTCGCTGTCTTTCTGAGCTTGAGCATTAGAGCTGTTTTCTTATCGGATGGTTACATGTTGATCTGGAGGAAAAAAGTTTCTATATCTTCCTGAAACCTCCCTGGATAAATTAGGTAAAGTTGAACTTTTCAAATTTATTCTTATTTTTATTCATTTGTAGGGAGGTGGAGACAACATACCACCACCCCTCCCTCTATCCTTCTCTGAATTACTTTGTGTGTGTGTGTGCATAGTGGAGCCACTTACTTGAATGTAACCCTGTGAACCCAACTCTTTATTATTTATTGCATGCTTCTGCTTTAAACTTTCAGTTTTCCTGTCATGTAAGCGTTTCATGTGCAGAAATACAGCGAATCTGAAACTGTTTCTTTGCTAAATTGGTGCTTTCACTATACAGCGTCGCTCTTTATGTGAAACTCGCTCAAACTGTGAGAAAAATGACAAATGGTTCATCTGTCTCAAACATAAGATTGCTATTAGAAAAGCGAGAAAATGTGTAAGTCGTGAATCATTCAGTCCTGACTTGGATGTCGTCATGTTGTTTTCTTCTAATTAATAAAGGGTTAAGTTTTTATGCCCTTCAAGGAAGCCAGTAGTAATGTTGTGATGTAATACAAATTGGTTATGGAGGCCAGAAAAATTATAATTAAGAAACACAACTTTCTTATGATGCCTGTGTGAGGAAATTCTTATCAACACATTCGTCTGGTTTCCTTACTGTAAGAGCTGAGGGATTAGTTTATTTCTTTAACTTTACATGTTACAGTTTATTACTAAAAAGCAGTAGCATTTTTGTGAGTCTAATGATGTATAAACAGATTTTCACAATAAATTCTACAAATTATGTTTGTACTAATTTATTTGTAAAACTTGTAATTAAGTAATTAAGTACAGAGAGGCCTTCTTCAAAACAGTTGAATTTCTCACTTTTTAAATAATTGTGTTAATGCTGTCGACAGCAATGTAAAGTTAAACTCAACGGCTTTTATGACTTTCCTTCACCTGTTGCTATTAAAGAACTCCTTACTTAGAAAAACAACATTATTTGTTGTAACTGATGAGTAACAACTAGTTACTCATCAGTTACCCATATTTGTAAAGGTCAATGCATCTTCATCTTCATTTTAATCCCAGAATTGCATCAGATGTTTACCACTGACACTCTATGTGTGCATTTATGGAAATTTACAGAAACCGTCATATGGTCAAACCAATAATATAACTAAGGACTCATATCTGAGTAACAAACAGGAAATATAATGTTTTTTTTTTTTTCAAGTTTAATGTAGTTCAGACGATTCTTCATTTGATAACGTGCATTATCGCTTCTCTACCGCAAGAAATGAACAAACCTCCTGCTCTTCATTTACACTTGAGATTAGTGGAATCGATACGTCTGTTACTGCAACATTTGCAGCATTGCACTGTAAATAGGATTGGAGCAGAATGTAAGTGTTTGGATTGTATTGGATTGATTTAATTATATATTTCTGAAAACGAGCCTGTTAATTTTGTAATGCCCTTTGAGGTTACCTTTCTCGTAAATTGGAACTTTATAAACAAACTGAATTGACCTATAAATTTGATTTTTTAAAAGTGCATATGCATAATTTTTGTATGCGATATTTGTATTCTAAAATAGTTTTAGATTCTTGCAAAAAGTAGCAATAGCATTTTTGTAAAAAAAAAAGATCAAATATTTAACCGTTTATTTTGTATCTTACAGAACCTCTGAAGAAATGGAAATGGAAACGTCCGAAGACTATTCTACTAGTAAGTCCGTAAATCATTTCCATAACGCGTTAAACATGCAAAGATTATGCATGAATCCATCCAAATGTCTGTTATCCATTATGTAGGTTATTCTGATACAGTGCTGATTTGAAAATAAGAATAAAATATATTTGCAATCACAACACGACAAACATTTTAAGGGATTTTCCCCTAAGTGCAGGCTTTTTCCTGTTCAGCCCTAAAGGTAGAGAAAATGATGCATTAGCACATCCTGTTGAATGCAGCAGATGCTGGATACGCGCTTTGTGGTACTCCATTGCCCTTTGTTGGTTTCCTTTGGGTAGGTCTCTGAATTTCTCCCCCCCCTCCCCTCCTTGATTTTTGCTTTGGTGTGCATTTTTCAAAAGCAGGTAGCATCTTGTTGATGACATCAGTGGAGACTTTTGGGTCTCCATTGGGGGTTTGTGTTTGTAGGAACACTTGGCAGGCGGGCCAGTGGAGGTGGAAGGAGAAAAGGAGCCTCTTCCTGTCTTCATCCATCTGTGGGTTGATTGCTAAACATGGAACATGTAGCAGTTAGCATGATGGTGGACCGTAGCATACTTTCATAAGGAGCCCAGTATTTTAGATTCTTAGTACACAGTACACTGCCTTTCTTTATAGAACGTAATGTGTCAAACGTGACATTTTATTTTACATCACTAATACCTTTAGACAAAACTAGTTTTTTTCAGTTCTACATTAAATTCAACGAGCTATATGTTAACTTTTCAAGGTTGATGTCTTCGACACGGGTCAAAGGTTTTATTGTAGCTCAATCTCTCTTCCATATTAGCTATGGAAACAACGGAGAAGAAAGTAGACAGTCTCAAAAATGTTTAGTTATTGCATCTTTATCTTCACGTTGACCTCAAACATTACCATGATTTATTGTGTATTTTGGACTTATTTTGCCACTATTCCTCATTGAATAACCATAGAGATGTGCGGAAGAGACATATAATTTCATTACAGTATAATGATAAAATAATCTATATTGACCACAGATGTGGAAATCATAATACGTAATAAAAAAGAGCACACCAAAGTCACAAACTTACAAACCAACAATATGAGATCTGAATATTGATCAACTGGTAACCCTGTTTGTGGGCGCAGTGCTGCCATCAACCCTGTGCTCTGGTGGATTCAACATTGTGTGGTTTTAATGCAATAATAATAAATGTAATAATTAAAAATTATTTTAAAATTGTTGGCTTTACATCTGACACTGCCTGCTGTCTGCATTATTTTATTGTTGTTCATATGGAACCAACAGCGGAAAAAAATAATTAAAACAGCAATCCATGAAGATTATGACGATCCAGTGATGTTTTCATGACAATTAAGTGAAAGGACCAATTGTTTTAATTCAACAAAAACTTGTGGTTGAACCTATAAACTGAAAATATTAACTTGTTTTCAAAAAGGGAAGACAATCTATGATTTTAAAGTGTAAGGGAAATGTCATGCAGCCAAGAAAATACTTCACAGCATCAGGACTTTTTACGACTGAACACAGAAAAGGAATATCTTACATCCATGATTTAAGCAATAGTTATACTCTTTTAGAACTTTCTTGGTGCCTGTCCAATTTTTTACCTGAATCAGATAAGGCATAACGGGTCACTAAATCAGTAAACTCTAATGTCGAACAGTGGGAACATTTGATTTTCCCACTTTGTAGAGCAAAATTTCCCTGACACTGTAAGGCAGACCGACCCACCATACTGTTTACCTACACATCCATAGCAAGACACGAAAGAGAAAAGAAAAATAAAGGGAATTTGACAAATGGGACTTTAAATTTGAAGAAACACGTGTGTCCTGATTCTGTGTTCAATTATGTTTTGCTGAAAAGTAGGAATAAAATTTAATTTGCACAACAGTAAGACATATTGTACAGTACAGAACCATTTTATGCTTGAAGACATTGTTAGGTTTACAGTTGACTGGAAGATACGTCCCACCACACTGTGACATGTCATGTGTGGAGTTCAAGAATCGAATCAAACTCACGCAAGGTCAACAGAGTGGAAATTTGTATGTTTACTTGATCTTTATGTAAGTGATGGTAACATTATCTATGAGTCAGAGTAGCGGTATGAGACATGCAACCAGACAGTGAATATTTAGATATGGGACTCATCATTTTTGGTTTCAATTTCTGATGGCCTTATAGACGGTGTAGAAGATGTGCATATAGATAAAAGGAAGAAGGAAAAAAAAAAAAAAAACAAGTGTAAAGATTGCTATTACATGAACGGGCTGTAGAACAATACTTGTAGTATTGTTCTTTGTTCAAATTATAATTATATATGTTTCTTTATAAATCTGCCGAATAACCAATTCTTGAGAGTCCAAAAGGCCTTTATTATTTAATCATTTTATGTCCTCTTTATTCAGTCCTTGTTCTAAAACTCTTCCTGAAAGTCATGCCTCCTTTTTTTGCACTTCTACTCCCGCACTACACTTTCACACACTCACACAGAATCATTCTCTTACCTTGTTTGTTTCATCGTCTCACGTGTTGATTTCGTTCACTTTTTTTGCAATTCCTATTACCCGTGGGAATTACTCACACTTTTAACTGTGTTTTGGAGAAACTAATTTACTTTCTTATTAATTAATTTATTTTATTTTTTTTGTGCAATTTATTAGATCCATTAATCATTTGACACACATTCATATATAAATAAAGAACATTAATAGTTTTTTTTTTTGACAAATGGAAATGTGGCTCAGGAGGCCGGTTACCAAACCATGTTGACATATTTATGAAGCAAAGCTTTAGCAGTAGTTTTCATGTTGCTAAGTTTCATTGCTTTTGGAGTCAAGTGTGAGGTTTTGAGATCATCTTCAGGAATTAAATTTAAATAACAAAAATAATAATACAAAACAATACCCCATACTTTAAAAATCAGTATTTACCCATAGATATGGGGATTGGCACCTGAAAAGTTTAGAATTTGATGTTAAAAAATATATATCAATCCCCTTTGATGTGGACTTTGGGTTTCATGGTTGCTTGTCTTTTACAGGTGCACAATCTATATATGAAAAAGTGAAAAGGGGAAATACCCTAAAATCATGACATGACCTCTTTAATAATAGGTTACATTTTAAGGTGAACAGTAGGAGGTTTCTAGGTCTAGTCTCATACACAGATTCAGTTTGTTCCAAAAAGAGCAAAACAACTGCTGCGTTTCATCAAATCGGAGCCCTTGTTGCTATGGAAAAGAATCAGATGGTGTACTTGTTGATATGTTGTTTGTGGTTTTGAGCCATTTCCCTAACATCTTCTGAGCAGATACAGAGCAACATATTTCCAAAAGGTACCTATGCTTCATAGACACACTTGTACAGATGCATGACTTTGAAAAGAAGTAAATGTCTTTGCTCTTCCTAGGTTTCTGAAAGGATGACTGGACTTACTATTTGGTGTCAGTAATGAAGTCAGCAAAAATTACACCTACAAGTTTCGCGTGTATACAATGTTTCCTTTCCGTTTGCACATAAAATCGTCCAAATTTAGTGCATTACTCAAATAACCTTTTCCCCGGCAGGCCTTATCTCTTTGTTATTCTGATCTTATGGTTCATTTTGGTTTGACTCAGCAAATGCAGGACACCAACGCAACTTTTTGAGTCAGTCCATGAAACCTTAAGCTTGTTGGCTGTTAATTTTTTAATCCCATTTTATCTTCAGACAGTGAAGCAGATAAAGGTTTTACAATGATGTGACCAAGTACTGTTCCGCTTAGAGATTTCTTCTGATTTGAACACATATTGATCAAATGATCAAAATTTAATATCAGAAAAACAAACTGAGTAAATTCAATAAGGATTTTTTCAAATTATTCCTTTTAACAAGGGAAAAACCTAAGCCTTTACGAAAATATAATCACAGTTATTAACTCTTTTTTTAGTTCAATTTCAAAAACTTTATCAAGACGTTATTCCTGCAAGGCCTGGAAAATTAAGAAATCACCTGTACAGAACTTCTCTGATGGCATGAAATAGAGGAAAACCTTGCCCCAATCTGAAGAAATTAAACATTGGCATTTATTAGTCTGGAAAGACTTTGCTGTTTCAGGACCTGCACAACTTGCTGCAGTTGATGGAAGAATGAATTCTCCAAAAAAAGAGAGAAAATCCTGAAGGAGGTCTATAAGTATGTCACCTTAAGCTTAAGACCATTTTGTCTGATGATTGTCCAGCATCTGGTCGATGATGCTGGTGTGTTTTGGAATGCTCACATTGCCTGTGAACATTCATGATCGTGAACTGTGGCTGAATTAAAGTAATTCTGCTAAGGAAGTGATCCTCAATTCCTCTTTAGTACTGTAAAAGTTTCATTACTATTTATTGTAAATGTCGATGGCAAACGTTGCCCACAGGGGTGACACAACCATTTTTTAGGTTTTTGGGGCAATTACTTCTCTACATATAACCAGGTTGGTTGCGATGTCTTTTTCTGTAATAAACAAAGTATTATTTAACTACTGCATGTTGTATTTTTGTCTTGCTGTCAAAACTTATTTAATGATTTAAAAATGTAAATGTAGAACAAAAAAGAAGAAAATCCAAAATGGGTGGTGCTGTCTTTCACAACACCGTATAAATTAAATGATCAGGCAGCTGTGTCTACCCAAGCAAGTAAAAGTTATTATTGTCAATGATGTTCTAGGGATTTGACTCTTAACATGTTCCTTCTTATAGTTGTGTAGTAAAAATAAAACAGATTTTTATTTTCCATGCTGAACTCTAACATCTCAAAGCTGTTACTATAGACCTTAGCCTGCCAAGCCACTGCTATGAGCATCTGTCAGCAGCTGTTACCAAAAGCTAATGGAAAATCCATCTTGACAAATCTGGGCCACTCGAGGACAGCATTGCCAAGGGATAGCCAGGGTTGGTCACCTGAGATTTCCTCCAACCCCGAACTGTGCAACCCGAGCTTAGGCCGAGGGATTGTATCATGGACAACGTCTCCCAGTATGCCCCACTCAGTGAGGCTGTTGTTAGAGTGCAACCAAGACCACAAAAGACGTTGACAGCAAATATGACTGGCCATTACTAGAGATAACTTAGAGCAGATTCTTTTTGTTCTTATGAAATGAATAATTTCAGAATTGACCAATAAGGCATTGCAAGGAACCCTTTCAGAAGCAACACTCGCTCCTGTATTTCACTTTCTTGTCCCTTTTTTTCTTGTGTTTACTATTGCTTAGTGCTGTTTGCTAAGAAAGGTCTAAAAACTGATGGGCTAACCATGTTTCCTTTGGGATTTGACACCTGGGTCAGAGATAGTGTTCACCTCTTGCCACTGCATTGTTCAAGTGACCCTGACGGGGCCGGGGTGTAAGGGGATAAGGGATTGGTGTGCTCTCCCTCTGAGTGGACACTGGGCTATCCATGGCCAGGGTTCTGCACAGACTGCTGAGAGGATGCAATCTGATCTGCATTTGAGGGACATCAGGACTGTATTGTTGCATAAAAGCAATATACTTATACAGTATACGTATACAGCATACATAAGAACAGTATACTTATACAGTATACGTATACAGCATACATAAGAACAGTATACTTATGTACGCTGGTGTGCCGCATAGACTCTGAGGCAGATCTGGTAAGAATGAGGAATTATTAGACAAATAGAGACATTTTACAAGGACTCTGCCTGTGTATAGGAGAATGTGCTCCCTAACACATTATTACGTAGTCAACTGATTGCATTATCAGTTGAATTGTTTTCACAATAGCAAATGAATTGGAATTGTTTAGGTAACAGTGTGTAAAAACCTCATCCTTTAAAAAACTGTATTTTGAGCTTCTACAGACTCAAAATGTAAGTGTTTCTTAATAATGCAGGCCTTTCTCCCCTGAATTCTCACTTTAACATGGATTTTTTTTTTCCACAAAGCACTGAGGTCTCTTTTCCTTTTTTTTTTTTTTTTTTTTTTTAAACGTGTGCCTTGTTTCAATGCTTCGTAAAGATTGCTTTCTCTTTGTTTCCCAGGTAACGGCCAATGCTCTTCCGGCAAGGAGGACTCGAGAATGGTGGTGGATGTGTCACCACCTAATGTACCAGCACTTCCCCAGGGTCCTAATTCCCCCAATGGTTAGTAAATATATATACATAATAGTGCTACATTCTTCCAGAGCCACTCCACAACCCAAATGCATTGCACTTATTGAGATTGCTGCTGTTTTTGATATGTAGGCCTAATAGTGCTGACTAGATATTCAGGAATTAGCCTTGTGTTATTTTCACAAATATCAACATGGTAAAAAAGAAAAAAAACAAAAATAGCTGCCAGGTTAAACAAATGTGTTGCTGTTTACCTTGGATTACCTTGGATGCTGTTGGCTTCACTGGATTTTATTCAAGAGTATGAGAGTAAGGGGGGCTTAGTTTTCAGATTTTTATTTTACGAAAATCTTTAAATCTATGCATAAAATTCACTGAGTTTGTGATTTTTTTCTCATTTGAGTTTGTAATGTGACAAAATGTAAAATAAAAGTATGTATGCTTTTACATATTTTTATTTACATGTGCATCTCAGTAATCTGTTCATCCAGCCCACTTGAATGATGATGTATGATGTAATATTCTAATATTCAAAGAAGCTAAATGTCATGCTTTCATTAGATGTAAGCAGAAAATATCATAGCAGAAAGGAAAACTTCAATCTGTGTAAGATTAATTTCTGTTGGCAAGGTAAATGCAGAAATAAATTAACGTCTCAATAATACTGAAGTTATAAAAATACAAATATTTAAATAATGGGCTAGGCTTTTTTAGTTCAAATAAAATATACAACAAACATAAAGGATTGCAGCAAATGGTGTTGCACAAAACTTCACAGAACAAAAATGTGCCATTGTTCAAATTATCTCAGATAATGAACTGTGAAATGCAAACAATTACATTACATCTTATTGACAATTTAGCATGGATACAGTAGGCTTTATGAAAACATTTTTTGTGCAAAAGTATACCATGCTGAACCTCTGTGTAAAATATAGTCCAGAGTGTCACACCGTTCCCGTTAGTGTGCTGACCAAAAAAACCTAGATTATCTCTAGCAATGTCACTGTGAACAAGCAAATTAAGGAAAGGGGAAACAAAGTAAAATTAACCAACTGTAGAAATGTAGCAGAAAGTTTTCCCACAAGTCTTTAAGAGGGGTGGAGGCTAGCTGGAATAAGGATTCCCCAGGGAGAAACTGTGTTTTTGTTATTTGTAATGCTGCCTAGCATCTTGTGACATTTGAAGTTTCGGTAGAAAACATTATACACGCAGTCAGAAATAGATAAAAAAAAAAAAAAAAAAAAAAAAAATCCGTTCCAAA